ATAAAGCCCCCCATGCGTGTAAGGCATGAATTCTGGTGTCTTTTTCGTGGTAAAAGACTAACCAGCAACGCGTGTTAGGCGTAGACTTATCTCTAATTAGGGATCGAGATAAAGTCCACCATGCGTGAAAGACATGGATTTTTGGTGCTACGATGTTAAATACGTAGACTTTTGTCACTGTTTCTTCTTGTGTTATGTTTTCACTTGAAACACTAAAAAAATTAGAAGTGTCAGAGGTGTAGTATTAACTTGACATGAATTTTCACTTAGAGTGAAATTCAGAAATTTTCTTGATTATCACCAGGATAATTCCAGAAAATCTTTGATCTGCTGAGGATTTTATAATAAAAACTTGATATTCTTGTTGAAAAAGGATTAACAAGTTTATTAGGGGGTTTGACTGTTAGAGGTGTGATGTTAACCTAACAGTATTTTATGGGCCTGTCGCTCTATTGAAGAGAGTCGATAAGTTGGTTTGGTCGTCAGAGGTGTGATGTTAACTTGACGAGTTTGTGGACTTATCACTTTATTGAGGAGATTCGAGAAGTAGATTGTCAGAGGTGTGATATTAACGTGACTGGAAAATGTTACGATCAGAGCAACTTTGTGGACTTATCATCCTATTGAAGAGGGTTGATAAGTGGATTGTCAGAGATGTGGTATTAACTTGATAAGATTGCATTGCGATGAGAGCAACTGATGTCGAAGACTCCATATACGAGCGTAGTTGGGAGCTTGATGTACACGATGGTATGTACGAGACTAGATTTGTCACAGGCGGTGAGCATGGTTTCGAGATACATGCACGATCCAGGAGTGAGTCATTGGGACGCCGTGAGATGGATTTTGAGGTACATTCGAGGTACGCTCAATGTTGGTTTAGTTTATGAGCGGGATACTACAGGTGGACAGGTATGCATTGGTTATGTTGATTCGGATTATGCCGGGGATTTGGATAAGCACCGGTCTACGACGGGATATGTGTTCACTTTGACCCGTGTGCCGGTGTGTTGGAGATGCACCTTACAGTCGACGGTGGCTTTGTCTACAACGGAGGCAGAGTATATGGCAGTTACGGAGGCTGTGAAGGAGGCTATTTGGCTTCGAGGACTTTTGGAAGAACTTGGTATATCACAGAGGTCCATCACTATTCATTATGATAGCATGAGTGCTATCTATTTGGCGAAAAATCAGGTTTTTCATGCGAGGACGAAGTATATTGACGTTCGTTATCACTTCGTTCGAGATGTTCTTGAAGATGGCGATGTGGAAATTGTGAAAGTCCACACAAAGGATAATCCGGCGGATATGCTCACTAAGGTGGTTCCGAGTAACAAGTTTGATCATTGTCGAAGCTTGTTGCATATTCGTGATCGTTGAGGCCGTTGACGGCCATTTGGGTGAATTACGTAAGGCTTGATTCCTTGGGCAAGAGGATACGTAGACAGTCTTTATGATGCAACCGATTTGGTGAGTAGATACCGACTTTTGGAGAGTGATCTCATTTTTATTTGGATCTCGACTTGTTGTGGATTGAGTCCGTTATCGTGAATTGTTTCATGGCGTACTGGACATAACAAGTGGGACATTTGGTTGCTTTGGTGTCGGCTCAGTTTTGAAAAAACTTCACCGAGGTGGAGAATTGTGAGGAAATAAAGTAAGTGGGGGCCACAAAGTGCCGCCCACAATTGCTTTTAGTAAGCCCACCCGACTGCTATTAATACCCTAGACGCCTAGGGTTTTGGTGTGCGAAGGCATGGAATATTTTTTTGTGCGGCTGCGGAACAGAAGCAAGCAGCAGAGGTGATTTTTGGCTGTGAAGAAAAAGAAAAACACAGAGGCGTTCCGTGCCGACTTTGAGAGTTTTGAGCATCCTTTTGTAGAGAGATATTGTGAGGGATTTGAGAGTTTGTTTGAGGGTTTAGGTTGTGAGTGATTGTAAACCCTAGTTGTAATCTCTCCCTCTAGTAGTAGATCTCCCCCTCCTTGCCCCGTGGACGTAGGCTATTTGCCGAACCACGTAAAAATTGGTTGTCTCGTTATTTGTGTGATTTGTAATAGCTTTTAGGTTCCCTCGACAGGTCAGTCCTAGAACTGATGAGAGGAATAGCTGATATCTCACTTGGTTGAGATATTTTGTTTCAGAGTCTTGTTTTTTTGGTGAGACGGGAATTCTTATTGCGACCTGACTCTCTTGTTGTGCTGCCGAATTGCTGCCGACACAAACGACACATTTATATATAAAGAAATAGCAACAAGTAATGCTTTCTATTTCAAATTTTAACGTAGCAATGGCCCTTTCCTTAATCCCTGCTACCTTCGCCAAACGGGACAAAAGTAGTAAAACACGTGGAGCACATCGTACAACAAATAGATCTTCAAGATTCCCTTAATCTTTTTTTGGAGTGTCCAATTTTAATTAATCAACTCAACGTACACCTTCTACGTTAATTAAAAATGTACGACGCAGAGTCGGCTCAAGTTATGCTATCAACATGTCATTGCTACATTGTATTGTATTTAATACTTTTGTGTTATATTCTCATCAAAGGAGCCTCCCCACTAAACTAAAACTCTGAATTTACTGCATTATAATGTTATATTTAAACATTCTTGACAGGTTGAGGTATTTTTTCAGACATAAATCTCGACTCCGGAAGCAGTATCGATTTTTCTAAAATTCGCTTAAAAATTCATGACTAACAAAATTCGAATGCGGTTGTTCTGATACCATGTCAAAAAACCCAATCACTACTCTAGAGCTTCAAAGTTATGATAGGGACTGAGATTATAACTTTATATTCTACCAGTTTTATATTTCTTCTATCGTGCTGCAAATCTCATTTCGAAAAATGTTACACTTAGAGCCTGTATGTTTGCACAGAAATAGCTGTGAACACTACAACAGAAGTTGTATATGCCCACACTTATTTTATGACATATATAACAATATCATTTTATTTACAAAGGATTAAACAATAGTGACACAAATAAAAAGTGTGACAAACTACAACATACATTTGTATCATTAGATATAATTAAATATAATTGAAAAAGATTAATAGTCCAAAATGGATTGTGAGGGGATCTATTGATGGCTTAAATAATAATCTTAGATTTTAATCATGATGATTATTAAACATTTATGATAGCGTGTAAGTTAAAAAAAACTCTATAGTTATGTGTGCTTTGGTAAGAGTAATTATAGGATGGGTGACTGTTATAGTTTAGAAAATCAACAAGTACTAATCTCCCTAGAGAGACCGACACGTACCTCACCGAATCAGACGGATTAGGGACCAAGACGACTCAAACTACTCCTACAGCGGAGCCCAAGGCTGACAATTTGCGTATTCGAGTCGAAAAGCAATACTTGTTGACCACCTCTCCCTATAAACCCCCAGAGCCGACAACTTGACTAGGCGAGTCGAAAGGCGGTATTTCTTGGCCACCTCACCCTATCGACCCAACGATCAACCCGCACTCGGCCCACCGTGTCAGCCAACAACTTACGTAGCCGAGTCAAAAAGTGGTGCTTCTCGGCCCTTGACTAAACTAAAAGAAAGGCAACAATTACTTTGAATCCCTCACCAGCCGACTTCCCTTGCATTAATTGCTTTGATAGTATCATCATTACTCTAGCACCCATAATCTTTATGACTCATCGGACCCAGTCAACTCAAAGTATTTGCTGTCATTCACTCATTAAATAATCAGATGACTCACTTTCTTCCACGATCGACACCTGGAAGGTATCTGCTGAATCAACAGCAAATGGAATTGGTCGAAGTTACCTTTATACCCCTCCGATCTGTTATAAAAGGGAGCTACCCTCCATGGGGTAACTTCTTCTGAAATTTGGCAACTTTGATTAACTACTAATACTACTTGTCTCATTTTCCTACTCAAGATCAAAATTCTGACTTGATCGTTAGAGGAACCACGTGAGAACTCAACTCCACCCTCTTATGAGTTTTTCATGTGCAGGAAAGAACAACAGGCCCTGGACCTAGTCATCTGAAGAAGTTTGAGAACTCTAAACACTATCATAACTCTAACCTAAATTCTCTGTTTGATAACTGACATCAACAGTGTTCTGAAAAGTTATAGTGTTGAATGATGATAATCTTTAATTTTTATGGTCTAGACACAGCTATGTGTCTTTATATCTTTATGGTCTAGACATAACTATGTGTTACTATTCTTGATACCATAAGTTCTGTGACACACCTATGTGTCACCACTTTCGACGTATATATGTGTCGTGAATCGTGTGATACATTCTCACATGTGTAAAAACATATTCTAACCACACTTTTAATATGTGTTGCGCTTTATTTGTGTGATACAAAAAAGATATCGCATATAGATAAAAAATATATCATAGTTTACGACTTTTGTTGCAGTGGAAGTAGTAGAAGTTAAATTAGAGCTTTATTTTGAACTTATTGTCTCTGATTAATCCAATCCCATCCTTTATGCATGCGACCGTGAAGCGCATATAGATACAAATCAGGACAATCAACTGTTTATATATGTCCCAGCACTTTTTTGATTATTATTATTATTATTATTATTTGAGTTACCATTCTCTTGTGTTCGTGGATGTTCTTATGTGATCTGCGCATGGTTTTTTTTCTTGTAGAGTAATTTAAGATATGTTAGTAACAAGTTGAATATTAATTATTATCAATTTTTTAATGATATAATATGCTATGACATATTTTATGCTACTTCCTAAAATTTATTTTTTTTCACTTGCTATCCAAATAGAAAAGGTGAAAGAAGAAATAAGCATAACTACTACTTCTTCTACTTCCATAAACATATATTAAAAAAAAAAACTTTGGCTAGCTATTTCATACATAATAATTATTAATTACGGACCTCACTTTTTTCATCTACTCTTTTTACTTTCACCTATTCAAAACGGTAAGCTGCACGCACAACTCCGTTGCCTATAAATACTCCGCGAATTGTACTCGCAAACTCATACCATCTCCCATTTCTCAACATGGAGCTCTTCCTCTACTTCCTTCTCCTCACCCTCACCTTCCTCCTCACAAAAGTCCTCCTCAAACGCGGAAACCCTAACCTCCCTCCGGGCCCATCGAAACTCCCAATCGTCGGAAGCCTCCATCACCTCCTCGGCGCTGAGCTCGCCCACCACGCGCTGCGCGACCTTGCCAAACTCCACGGCCCCATAATGCACCTCCAACTCGGCCAAATCCCCGCCGTGGTCGTCACCTCGGGCATCGTGGCCCGAGAATTCTTCAAGAACCACGACATAAGCATCGCGTCCCGGCCCGAAAACATCGTCGCCGCCAACGTCATCCTCTACGGCCCCATCGACATGCTCTTCGCCCCGTTCGGCGAGTACTACAAGAGGGTCCGTAAACTCTTCGTCATGGAGCTCATGAGCCCAAAACGAGTAAGGTCGTACCAATCCGCTCGAGAGGTCGAGACGATGGATCTGATGGACGTCGTCGAGAGCCATCATCGCCAATCGCTTGCCGTCAACTTCACCGAGCTGTTTCACGCTTACACCAACAATCTGATCGCGAGAGTTGCGTTCGGGAAGCGGAGCAAGGACGGTAAAGATTTTTTGGACGCGTTTAGGGAGAGTTTGCAGTTGGCGAGTGGGTTTAACGCGGTGGATTTGTTTCCGTCGGTGGCGGGAATTATTGGGTATTTGAATGGGATGACGGAGAAAATAGACAAGTGCCATAAGAAAGTGGATAGGATATTGCAGGGGGTGATTGATGATAGGAGAGAGCAGAGGGCTAAGGAGAGGGACGATGGGATTTTGGGGGAGAATAATGGAGTCGAGAATATTTTGGATGTTTTGTGTAAGATTAGAGATGAGGGTGGTTATGATTTGGAGCTCGATCATACTAGCATGAAGGCAGTCCTTTTTGTAAGTTTTCTTTATCATTTTCCCTCCTCCTCCTCTTCTTCTTTTATTTTTTATTTTTTTTAAAGTTTTTTGCTTTTCATTCATGGTTTAGATCTTGTCTTTTTTCCCAATGCTTAATAACCATCATAATTAACTCATGACGTCAACATGACCAATTATGATTTATTATTGGCGTCAATTTAATAAAACCTCCCTAAGATTGGTCGATTTTAAGATAAGCCCCTCTAAACTCTAAAAATATCAGTTAACCCACTTAAGTTTTGTGAGGCAACCTCCCTAACACTGTATATCTGATTGTAGACCTAAAAATCATACGGTGCGTCCAAATGAGTAAAATGCCTTCCGTTTGGCAAAGGGTTAAGGAAGAGGGATTAAGAGGAATGATTAACATAGTTAGTCCATTTGATAACCCGAATAACTAAATTATTAACCCGTTATAAAAGTTTTATTTTAGTCATTGTGATAATTTTTTAGTGTTTGGTAGTAAGAATGATTTTGAGTATTTTTTTTTATAATTAGAGGGGTTAACTCTTAATCACTTTGAATAGGAGTATTAGTAAACCTCTTATTTTGAGGGGTTAACTCAATTTAATTCCTTTAGAATGGTTAGCTTAACTCTTTTGTATTTTTTGTGTTTGACAAATTATGGAGGGTTAACTCACTTTAACCCCTGTACAAATTTTTTGTGTTTAGCGGGTTAAGAAAGGGTTAAGTCTTCTTAACCCCTCACTTATCCCTTTGCCAAAGGATTCAGATCCTCTCCACTACAAAAAAATTTGTAGTGATAATCACAGCCATTGATTATCTAGTTGATGGTTATGATTTTTTCTTTTAGTGCAAATTAGGAATGAGTGCAATACACGGGGGTATGGTAAGTGTTAGATTTAGATTGTATCATAACCGCCTACTAAATAATCAATGTTTGAGATTAAAAGTAGTGGTCTCTCCACTACTTTTTTGTAGTGGAGAGGATCCAAATCCTTTGCCAAACGGCACCTAAGAAAAGCTCCTTGTTTTAATATAAATTTGAACGTACTATTCATGAAAACTTTCTATTTCTCAAAGTAAATAAATAAATAAATAAAATCAAAACTTATTATGATTAATTATGCAACTTAGTTTCATTTACGAACATACGTAGAACTCTTAAACAAAAAGTTTTCCTTCATGATGTACGCAGGATATCTTTGCCGGGGGCAGCGGAACCTCAGCCTCCTCTATGACATGGACAATGTCCGAACTCATCCAAAACCCTAGAGTCATGAAAAAAGCTCAAGACGAAGTTCGACGAGTGGTCGGATCCAAACCCAAGATAACCGAATCCGACATAAAAGAACTCCACTACCTCCGACTAGTAATCAAAGAAGCACTTCGTCTCCACCCTCCTGCGCCTCTCTTAGTCCCTCGACTCACAACAGACTCCTTCCAAATCCAAGGCTACGACATCCCCAAAAAAACCCTAATCATCTTCAACGCCTACGCAATGGCAAGGGACCCTAACATGTGGGATGACCCCGAGGTTTTCAAGCCCGAGAGGTTCGAAGAGAACTCGGTGGATTTCATGGGGACTAATTATGAGTTCATACCGTTTGGAGCGGGGAGGAGACTTTGTCCCGGGATTATGTTTGGGCTTGTGGGGATGGAGATTGCGCTTGCCAACTTGCTTTATTATTTTGAATGGAGTTTGCCGGAGGGCATGAAGGAGTTGGACATGAGTGAGATTGGGGGGTTAGGGGCCAGGAGGAAGTATGATTTGTGCTTGTGCCCTTCTACCTTTCTTCCTTTGCCAGTGGATGTGTAGTTGAGTGCCGAGGTTGCATGCGTCAGTCTAGTGTGTAATATTGTTGACATATTGTAATGTATTTGGTACATTTCAAGTGTCACCGTATTAATTTCTCATGTTTTCAATAAATAAATGGCTTGTTTGCAAACATATATCTCTGCTATGTATGATCGATGTGAGCATGCCGGTTGTTATTTTTAAATTTTTTTAATTCGTATTTAGATTGTCCATGATGTTTTAATGGAATTATCTATCTTTTATCTTCAATTGAGATGCGGATTTGTCGTCTGACATGGATTTGCAGAGATTCACTAATATTTTAGTGTAATATTCTTATAGACGTTGAATATGCAACCTCTACAGTAATTTGGAGTGAATCCATTTTTATGTAGATCATCTTACTGTCACCCATACAAAATTCTCACATTTTACCAATAATAATTAGCTTTTTCCTCTGACATTAGCTTTTTCGTATATACACTAGGGTCCTGAAAACAAATCCTGTCTTTAGATACTTTGCCAGCATGATATCTGGAAATCACATTTCTCAAGATATGATGATTAATAATTACAATTGTTTTGCATCCCTAATTGATCCAACCCATGAAAGATAATGTTTTGTGGGCCAGGGAAAGCTCACACGAGCAACGTGACGTTAGTTAATTTTCAAGTGAGTGCCTAATATACCGTGATCTTTTCAGTAATTAATTAATGAATAATCCAGCTTGTTGAAAGATTCTTCTTTTTTTTTTCTTCTTGCTTTTGAATCTCTGTATAGTATATCTGAAGTGTTTGTTAATCAAGACGAACATCGGACAAGCTCATGGACAGTTGAGCATGTTAGCCAATGCTGTAGCGTACGTAGTAGGATAAGGAAATAACACTCATGAGAAGATAGTTGACATCCGCCATGCGAAGATCGCAGTGGGCTTAGGTCATGAGCTTCTTAGGCAGAAGGTTGCACTTCCGACTAAAGGCTGTTTTGTCTAATTTTCACGTTTTATGATAGTTTGGTGCAGAACTCCCAAAGTAATATCTAACCAACAATGTGAAAGATTCAAGGGTTAATTTCTCAAAACCCCTTGGAGATTTTGCACATAACCCTCTAAACTAGGTTATCTCACGTAACCCCCCAGTAACAGGAAACTAACCAATGTACTTTAAAAAAAAACCCTAGTCTAGTTACTACTTCTCTCGAAGAGATTTAGTTATTTGCTAATTGAGGATAGATGGTTCCAATGAGAAAAAGCTGAGGGTTTAGGATTTCCTGTGAGAAAAGCAGAAGGTTCATGACTTTGTGACATTGCGAAGTTAAAGGTTTAAAGGGTCATGTAATTAAAGTTTAGGATGCAAACCCCTAAATGTTAGGATCGTTTGTGAAATTAAACCAAAATTTAGGAATATATCTATATTTATACCAAAAGAAAGAGAAGGATCTGATACTTTCTCACTTGTAAAAAGGCTAAAATATCATATTAGCCTAAAAAGTGACGCTCATTTACAAATTTAGCCTAAAAATTGCAGTCGTCTATAGTTTAGCCTAAAAAGTAATAAACACGATAAAAAAAATAGGCATTTTCGATGCAGACGATAATTTTTAATCTAAAGGTAATTTTTGCATATAGGCCCCTAACTCTCTCATATTTTTCAGATTAACCCCCAAAAGGTTTTCTAAATTTTGTAAAAAAACTCTCCCTTCCCATCATTTCTCCCTTCTTCTTCTTACCATCTCCTCCATTCTCTTCTCCTAAAATCCCCAACTTTCCTTCCTCTCTCCCACTTCTTCTCCATCCTTTCCTATATCCATTCTTACCTTCCCCTTTCCAACATCTCCTTCATTCCCCTCATAATCCCCAACCTCCCCTCCTCTCTCCCACTTCGTCTTCACCCTTTAATCATTAAAAAAATCTAACATTCTCTTCCTCTCTTAGACACAATATCAAACATTTTATTAAACACCTAACCTCCTTCTCCTCTTCGTCTCTCCCATTCACTCTCCCTCTCCTTCCTTGCTCTACCCTCTCTCTATTCACCCTCCAATCATCAAAAACTAAACAAATCTCCTCATCCTCCTCTTTCTTTCTCATACCCAACATCAAAATTTTACTTGAAGCATTAGGATAGATGAAGAATAGGGGAAGAGAGAAAGAAGAAGAGAGATGACAAAGAAAAAAAGAGAAGCGAAAGATGTTAAGAAAAGATGAATTTAGAGAACGAGATAAAGACATAAATATCAGGAAGGATATGTGAAAGGAGGGAGAATAAGTGGGAGGTTGGGGATACATATAAGAAAAGAATGAAGGAGATGGTAGGAAGGAGGAGGGAGAAGATGATGGGAAGGAGGAGAGGGAGGGAGGAAGAGTGATTGAGAGAGGGAAGGAGAGAGGTTTTTTATATATATTTTAAAACTTGAGAAGATAAATTCGAAAATAAGAGAGTGAGGGGCTTGTCATAAAAATTAGTTAAATTTTCACTTAAAAATTGTTTGTCACCGAAAATACTTATTTGCCATCCAACTTTTCACTTTTTAACTAAGTGGCTGTTTGGTTGGTTTCCTAAAATCAAAGAAAAGGAAATAGGTCCTGGGAAATCAATAAAATTTAATTTTTATCCATTTTCATCCTTAAAAATCACCCACACCAACCAATAATATGGTAATAACTCATCTCATCTCATCTCCTTTTTTTACTTTTTAGGGCTGTTTGATTCGTTTCCTAAAAACCAAGAAAAGAAAAAAAAACATGGAAATCAATAAAATTTGGTTTCCATCATTTTCCACCCTTAGAAATCTCCCACATCAACCAATAATATGGTGACAACTCATCTCATCTTATCTTATTTCTTATTTTTAAAAATAAACTAAACACAAGAAATGAGTCACATCAATCATCTCATCCAACTCACCTCACCTCATCTTATCTCATCTACTATCATCTTTAAAAATTACTCACATCATCCAATAATATGGTGACAATTCATCTCATCTCATTAAAATTTTCCTTCCATCCATTTCCTCCAAAAACAAGGAAATTGATTTTCCTAAGTATGTGTCACATCATCCAATAATATAATGACAACTCATCTCATCTCATCTATTTTCTTAGCTTTAAGAATGAACCAAACACAAGAAAAGAATCTAAACAAGGAAAGTCTTTTCCTTACTTTTTTAGCCAACCAAACACAAGAAAAGAACCTCAAAATAAGTTTTTTTTTAAAATCATTCACATCATCCAATAATATGGTGACAACTCATCTCAACACATCTCTTTTTTACTTCTAAGAAGTGAACCAAACACAAAAAAACATCCAATTATGAAAAATATATTTCCTTTTCTTTAATTTCCATGTTTTTTTAGCGAACCAAACAGCCCCTTAAGAATGAACCAAACACAAAAAATGTGTCACATCATCAATCTTATCTCATCTTTAAAAATTACACACATCATCCAATAATATGGTGACAACTCATCTCATCTTATTAAAATTTTCTTTCCATCCATTTTCTCAAAAAAAAAAGGAAATTGGTTTCCTTAAGTATGAGTCACATCATCCAATAATATAATGATAACTCATCTCATCTCATTTATTTTCTTAGTTTTAAGAATGAACGAAACACAAGAAAAGAACCTATTATATGAAATAAGTTTCTTATAATTCTTTTCCTTATTTTTTTAGCCAACCAAACACCCTCAACACAAGTTTTATTAAAAAAATCACACACATCATTCAATAACATGGTAACAACTCATCTCATCTCATTCCTTTTTTTACTTTTAAAAATCAACCAAACACAAGAAAAAACCTATTATATGAAATATGTTTATTATTGGGGAAAATTGTGTCTAGGCCCCAAAGAAATAAAGGAGATGTGCCCCCCCCCCCATCTTTTTCCCTTACTCTTTAACCCTTAAGGCCCCAAAGAAATAAAGGAGATGTGCCCCCCCCCCCATCTTTTTCCCTTACTCTTTAACCCTTAAAATCCCAAAAAATTTGTTCAGCCCCTTTTTCACACACTCCCATGAATACATCCCAAAACATTCCTGTTTGGTGGAAAATTTGCAGTAAAAAGAAAATGAAGGAAAATTAATTTGTATTCCTTTAATCTCAATTACAATTGGATTTTCTAATTACAAAAGAGAGGAGAATTGATCTGAATTCTCCCATTTGTTTAGGTCTGGGTTCTTCACGGTGGCGATGGAGTGCCTCCCTCGAATGCTCGCATCGAGTTTGCTCTCCGTTGACGATCCGAACGTCTTGTTTCACTGAAACGTGATCTTCTCCTCACGATTTGACGTTATGGAGAACTTACGTGGCAAGTTTGAAAATAACTCTTAACGAGTTAATAACTCAGAACGAGTTTTAGAAGAACTTGCAGAGCAAGTTTTGAACTCTGATCGAGTTGATAACTCTGAACGAGTTTGAAACTCTATGAAAGAGTAGATTTAACCGAAATCGGTTTATAAGCCAAGGATGAAAGCTCTCTATTGTTGAACGATGCTGAAGGACGAAGTCGATCTTCCCCTCGCCACCAAGCCGAAGATCTCCTCTTCGCTGTCGAGTCTAAGATCCAAAAAGCCAGCCTCAACTCAATTGAGTTTCCCACTATTTATAGGGGATTTAAGGGTGTAACCGCCCCCTTAAATCTCTCCTTAATGAGGGTTTAATAGGGTGTAACTGCCCCCCATAAATCTCTCCATGATAGGATAGTGATCCCCTCAAATCGTGGGGAGAAAACGGTTCTGGAACCGTTTAAATCGTGCATGAACGAGTCAAACGTTGAAAACAGTGTTCTGGGTCCGAACTCTGCGTTTTAGACCTGAAACGCAGAGTTGGGCCTGTTTTAGGCTGAAAACGCATAGGTCGCGCTGCGCAGAGATGAACTCTGTGTTTTGGACTTGGGACGCAGAGTTAGGTTCTGCATGAACTGTGTGTTTTGGACCTGGGACGCAGAGTTGGGTTCTGCATGAACTGTGCGTTTTTTGGACCTGAGACGTAGAGTTGGGCTCCGCATGAACTGTATTTTTTTTTGGACCTGGGACGCAGAGTTAGGCTCCGCATGAACTGTGCGTTTTTGGACCTGGGACGTAGAGTTGGGCTCCGCATGAACTGTGCGTTTTTGGACCTGGGACGCAGAGTTGGGCTCTGCAT